ATATATATGTATGTATGTATGTATATATACAGTATATATATATATATAGCTGTTTATGTCTTGTTCTAATATGAATCGTAATTTTGTTCTACAGTGCATCCCTGATGTTTTGTTTGGATGACAATAAAGAGACTCTGAATCATATAGTCCTATTACCGCTCAAAAGTTTGGGGTCATTTAGATTTTTTTAAATAAAAAGTACAATTTTCTTCAATTAAAATAACATTAAACTCATCAGAAATGCAGTCTAGACATGCTAATGTAGTAAATAACTGTCATACCTATGAATGTTTTATAATATATAAAGCGTGTTTTAAAATTGAATATCTACATACTGTATGTRCAACCCCTGGCAAAACGTATGTAATCACTAGTCTTGGATGAGCACTCAGACGTTTCATTCTGTAAAACAAACCCAGATCAAAAACATGATATAGTAATAAGGTCATGCCAAGGTGCAACTAGTTGGCTTTCAGGAACACTCAAAGAAATGAAGAGAAAACATTGTGGAAGTCAGTGAATGTTACTTTTATTGGCCAAGCACAGGGGGGRAAAATGGAATCACTCAATTCTGAGGAAAAAAGTATGGAATCATGAAAAACAGATAAACAAAAGACCATTCAAAATGCATCACTAGTATTTAGTTGCACCACCTTTGGCTTTTATAACAGCTTGCAGTCTCTGAGGCATGGACTTGATGAGTGACAAACAGTATTCTTCATCAATTTGGTGCCAACTCTCTTTGATAGCAGTTGCCAGATCACYTTTGCAGGTCGGAGYYTTCTTGTGGACCATTTCCACCACAGGTTTYCAATTGGGTTGAGATCTGGACTATTTGYAGGCCATGACATYGACTGAATGTGTCTTCCTCCAAGGAAAGCCTTCACTATTTTTGCCCTATGGCACGATGCATTGTCATCTTGAAAAATTATTTCATCACCTCCCAACATCTGTTTAATTGAAGGGATGAGAAAACTGTCCAAAATGTCAATGTAAACTTGTGCATCGATAGAAGAATTAACCACAGTCATCTCCCCAGTGCCTTTGCCTGACATGSAGCCCCATWTCATCAAGGACTGTGGAAATTTGGTTGTTTTCTTCAGGCAGYCCTCTTCATAAATCTCACTGGAACGGCACCAAACAAAAGTTCCAGCATCATCACCTTGTCCAATGCAGATTCTTGACTCATCACTGAAGATAACTTTCATCCAGTCATCCACAGTCCATGATTGCCTCTCCTTAGCCCATTGCAGTCTTGTTCTTTTTGTTTAGGTGTCAATGATGGTTTTCTTTTAGCTTTCCTGTATTGAAATTCCATTTCCTTTAGGTGATTTCTTACAGTTCGGTCACATTCATTGGCTCCAGCTTTCTCCCATTTATGCTTCATCTGTTTAGTTGTACTTTTTCGGTTTTCAAGACAAATGGCCTTAAGTTGTTTGTCTTGACACTTTGATGTCTTTCTTGGTCTACCAGTACGCTTGGCTTTAACAACCATTCCATGCTGTTTGTATTTGGTCCATATCTTGGATACAGCTGACTGTGAACAGCCCACATCTGTAGCAACCATGCGTGAAGAGTTACCTTCTTCAAGAAGTTTCACAATCCTCTCTTTTGTTTCAAGAGACATTTCTCTTGTTGGAGCCATGGTTCTTGCCACTCCACTTCGTCCAGCAGCCCTCCAAGGTGTCATCATGACTGCAGGTGTTTTTAACTGCAGACTAATGAGCAGATCTAATCTGAGGCAGGTGTCCAGTTAGGGAAAGGAAACTGACTGGGTGTGTCCTTATTTTCTACCTCCAGTTTGAGTGATTCCATACTTTTTTCCTCAGAATTGAGTGATTCCATTTTCCGCCCCTGTGCTTGGTCAATAAAAGTAACATTCACTGACTTCCACAATGTTTTCTCTTCATTTCTTTGAGTGTTCCTGAAAGCCAACAAGTTGCACTTTGGAATGACCTTATTATTGTATCGTGTTTTTGATCTGAGTTTRTTTTACAGAATGAAATGTCAGAATGAGGGCTCATCCAAGACTGGTGATTCCATACTTTTTGCCAGGGGCTGTATACTGAGGCCCATTTTCAGCAGCCATCATTCCTGTACTCCAACAGCATATTCTATTAGTCAATCTAAGTCGATCATGTCAGGCTCATGGATCATTTGAATAGCCTTGTGCAACCATGTTAGCACAGTTGAAAACTGTTGTAGTGATTGCAGAAGCAATGGAAGCAAGGTGTCTGGAGTGTCAGCATTTGTACATTATATTTTAGTCTCAAAATGGACAGAAAAAAAATCTTTCTACTGAAACTCGTTGCCAGATCTTAACCCTTATTGAGCTGTTGTGGGAGCAGCTTCAAACTAATTTGGTTAATAAAGTGTAAGCTTTCTTGGAAAACTTTTGAGCGGTAGTGTACAGTTAGGAAAATAAGTATTTAGTCAGCCACCATTTTTTCAATTTCTCCCACTTAAAAAGATGAGAGGCCTGAGAGACAAAATGAGAAAACATATTTAGAAAATCACATTGTCTGATTTTTTAAAGAATTTATTTGCAAATTATGGTGGAAAATAAGTATTTGGTCAATAATAAAAGTTAATCTCAATATTTGATGCATGGCTCCATTCATTCTTTCATGTACACAGATCAATCACCCTGGTCCCTTTGCAGAGAAAGCCCCAAAGCATGATGTTGCCACCCCCATGCTTCACAGCAGGTATAGTGTTCTTTAGATGCAACTCAGCATTCACTCTCCTCCAAACAGGACGAGTTATGTTTCTACCAAACAGTTCTACTTTGGTTTCATCTGACCATATGRCATTCTCCCAATACTCTTCTGGAACATCCATATACTCTCTAGCAAACATCAGATGGGCCTGGATATGTACTGGCTTAAGCAGGGCGACACGTCTGGCACTGCAGGATCTGAGTAAGGCAGCGTAGTGTGTTACTGATGTTAGCCTTAATTACATTAGTTCCAGCCTTCTGCAGGTCATTCACTAGGTCCACCAGTGTGGTTCTGGGATTTTTCCTCACCGTTCTTGTGATCATTTTGACCCCATGGGATGAGACCTTGCATGGAGCCCCTGATTGAGGGAGATTACCAGTGGTCTTGTAGATCTTCCATTTTCTAATTACTGCTCCCACAGTTGATTTCTTCACACCAAGATACTTGCCTACAGTGGTTTGCAAAAGTATTCATACCCCTTGAACTTTTCCATATTTTGTCACATTACAACCACAAACATAAATAT